TCTCTGACCTGTCTTCCAGCCGCTTGTTGCTTCCTGGCTTCTTGTTTCTTGCTTCTTGCCGCTTGTTGCCTGTAATTGTTTCTTGCTTCTTGCTTCTTCTTTCATGTTTTCTTGCTTCTTGCCCTTGCTGCTTGTAATGACTTCTTGGCCCTTGCTGCTGGTAATTCCTCCTCTGACGCGCTCCCCCTGCTGTCGGCAGGGGTCGGCGGATTAAGGGTTTTAATTTAATATTAGGGGGAAGCTTCGAAATCCAATTTTTGGCAATATTTTAATTGCGTTATATAAAGAAATTTAATTGATTTTGAGATCGGAGAAAATAGTTTTTATTATTAAGGGTTTTAATTTATTATTAGGGTTCCCCAATACTAAATAACCGCCAAATACTAAAACTACCTGCCATATTATTAGTAATAGGGGGCGGGCGTTTAGTATTAGGAGGAAGGGATTACATTCATCTCACTTTCAACTCTGCCATTGGCCTTGTAGGAGCTGGCTGGAGTCATAGTTGTCACCACATCACGCTCCATGGTCCAGGTTTTCACTTGTCTGTTCTGAACAGAACTCCTTTGCTCGATCACTGTGGAGACGATATAGAGGCAAACCCAGACTTTGCAGACGGCAATACATCCTGGCCAAAGCTGGTAGCACATGTTTGACAGCTCGGGACTTGATGGGCCCCACGAAGGTGATCTGTTTGTCCGCCACATTCTGTGCCTCATCCACAAGCCGATGCCAAGTTTCATACATCGACTGGGCATTCTTGACGTTCTTCACCCTCCTCCATTGGTTCATCCTCTTCTGGTAGAGGTTGATTGTCATCCTCAGCCACCTGGCAGTTGCTGATCTTCTTCTTCGCTCATGTCCAGGAACAGGTAGCAAAGAAGCACCATCGCGAGTCACCGGCATAGTGTGACACCCAATCATCAAGTACTTCACACCCTGGGCGTTTTGGTCTCCGCCTTCTGTCATCTTGCCAGAGAGGTCAATACTGAGGGTGTAGGCTTCAGGATGTTGAACTCATCGATGTGGCTTGCTGCGTCCTCGTGCCCGCACGCAATGAGAGCAGTCTCGTCGAGCTGGACGATGATCACTCAAGAAATGCCGCTTCCATTGCTCTAGAGCGACAGTTCCAAAACCTTCATGTCAGATGTCAGGCTTTTGGTGGAGTGGATGTTGAGGATGACTTGGAACTGCACTAAAAATTGTTCATTAAATTGTTCAGGGCCCTTATCCCGTGTGGTTGTACTGAAGCATGTCCGGCCCATGGAGCTGCAGTCAAAAGGTTCAGGCCTCTTGCAGCTCGATCATATTCCAAAGTTTGGATATGATCTTGACTCGCTGTAGCTATCGCCAACTCGAGGCCAGGGGCCCATGCTGCCCACCGCTTGGAGGCTTCAATTCGGCAGTGCAAAGAATTGTCCTTCAGGTTCTCAGGTGGTGGTCCATGTAGGCCGTGCAGTTGCATCAGAGCTGCGAACGTTCATGCTCAATCCGACCCTGGTCAAAGTCGATCTTGTAAAACTTGAAGGAGCTCCTGAAACTTATGCCATTCAGCAGTGCGAAACACCGACATGCACCGACGTTGATCTTTGTCCTTGCGGTACTCCGCTGGGTCCCGTGGCTGTTCCAGAATAAACTCAGTGCTGGGATCTTCCGGTGCTCGCACTTCTTCGGCGATCATGTACAAGGACAAGAAGCGAAAAAACAAGACACTGTCCGTGTGCACCTTCTCGAGGTCAGCTGCAGAAAGGTCTGGAAGCCCATATGGATATGCCTCGCTTCGCAACTCCCTTGGCCCCCCATCATCTTGGCTTCTCAGTGCCGACACTGTTCGACAAGGTGGCCCTCCAAGAAGTAATCTGAGTCTCCCAGATGCTGCCAGCGTCAGTGCAAACCCATAGATGTGCTTGTTCATGAGGTCTGCAGGGCATCGACCTTGTAGATCAATGCAGAGCACTTCAGTTGTAGAGGTGGACAGTTTTCGCTCCCAAAAATGAGGGTTGTCTCCTGAGAAGGCGTGGATGATGACATGCTTTGCCCGCATCAGACGTCTCCTCTTTCGGCGATTTCCATGGGAGCATGGTGCCAAAAGTTTCAGACTTCACCGCCTCCAACCGTGGGATGGCCTTCATCATGATGTCCTCTGGGAGGTCTGGAAACATCTTGCGAAGCTTCAGCGTCATCGCCAGCTCCAAATCCAGCCTCGAATTGTCCACATCTTAAGGGTTGGTCAGCATTATCTTCACCATCGCCATCTTGCGCTTTTGGTGGACTTGGAAAAACTCCAACCACTTCAGAATACGTCGACCTTCATCTTGTGCCATCATAGGGCACCCATTGATCACTGTGACATCGATTTGTCGGCCCTCACCATCTTTGAGACTGCATTGTTGGTCAGACCAAACCAGTGCGAAGTCAAGGTCAGCCATGGCACAATCCACGATGTCGATGTAGGGTGCAACAAAATCTTTGTGCTGTGCTTCAGACGCAAGGTGTCTGTGGTGCCTTCAGCTAACTGCACCGTCACACGTTGCCCTTTCTCCCACTCTTCTAAGTCCGCTGCGCGACGAAGAGCATGTGTTGCACCTGAGTCTTTGAGCACCATGTCATTTTCAGTTCGACTAAGGTCCCCAATCTGCATCACCTTCAACTTGGGGTTTCCATCTGCAGCAAGTTCGCGGAGAGTTTTCAGAAGCTGTGTTGCCTCATGTAGGAGCTCACTCGTACGATCACTCTTCCCCGCATCACTTCCTCCTTCACCAAAATCCTTCACTGATTCTGCCGCTTCGCTCCCAGGTTTCCAGAAGATTTCAACTCCCCAGGTGTGGTGGCAGTAGTTGTTGCGGTCATGTCCGCAATTTCATTGATCTTGGGCTTGGATGGAGTCATAGTTGATGGCGTGGAAGGTGATGTCGATGTAGTGCCCTCTGAGATCTTGTTGTTGACAGCCGGTGCACCTCCTCCCCCGAACCTTTGGGTTCGTCTTGGCGTTTTGATCCGCCACCTTTCACCGGGCATTCTTGTTTGCGATGCCCTTTGGATCCACAGTTCCACCAGTGGGCTGTTTTGTCGCTGATGCCTTCCCAAGTGTGACTCCACTTGCACTGCTTTCCCGCACGACAGCCACTTTCACCCCGAAACGATTTGCAGGGCACTTCGGATGTTGGTCCACCAAGGCCCTTATACCAGTAGATCCAACCTCCTGTCCAGGTTTCTTGCCGGCGTTGTTGTTGTTGTTGTTGTTGTCGTCGTCCCCGGCTTCAATGACCTTCAGCTTCAGCGGCACGGCATCTGCAGGGGAAGCTGCCGAAGAGCTCATCAACACCAAAGTCTCTGCCTCTGCCAACAAGCATTGACTAAAGTCCCAGATCGAAGCAGGCTGCGGAAGCTCATCAACTTGCAAAGCCGCCCTGCTCTGGGCCAATCGACATGATGCCTGGCTGTTCTCCTTTGCCACCGCTTGCACACCAGCTTCGAGTGCCCTGATCAGCAAAGTGCCATCTGGCAAGCTGGCACCAACTTCACGAGCTCTTCCAAAATGCCGCCGTCAGCTGTCAGTGCAGTTGCCAACTCCGTCATAGAGTGCGTCTTGTGGAGCTGCGTCAACTCCTTAAGGATCAAAGATTTCTCGCCAGGGCCTCCAGGCTGATACGGAACAAAGAGTCGGTACAAGATGGCCGTGCTGGTCAACTGTCGATCTGTCACCAGCATCTGCCGAATCTCTGGGGCAATGATTTGAGCAGCAGGTGAACTCCTCTTTGTTCTGTACGGCCATAGTACCTGTCTTTGGGCTCCTCTGGAATCCTTGGGTCCAGTTGTACTCGTTGGAGTGGCGTCGCCTGCTCAACGGCTAGCCACACTGGAAAGATCTTTCATGACAGGGCCGCACAGACAACTCAGGCAAATCAGCTTTGGATCCGCTGATGCCTCCCCCGGTTTCCCATGAGGTCGGGATGGGGTCCAATCCTCCTCCCAAACCTCCTCTGCCACCATGCCGATGATCCCCACAAAAGCGTCCATCAAGACCAGCATGTAGGTGCGATGCTCCAAAAGCCCGATCACCAGGATATACACCATCGTTGCCCTGCAAATCCCGCGTGTTCCATTTGCAGTATACCGGGTAGAAGGACATTGGCTACGATCACCACTAGACTGCTGCTTCCCTTGGCGCAGTCCGTCTAACTCAACCATCAACTTAGCATTCTGGCCACGTAGATGGTCAACTAGTTCCCTTTCCAAAGAAAGCTGCAAGTCCTCAACAGCTTGTTGTACTTGAGAACTGGACCTAGCATCCACTTGACGACCATGCCCAAAACCATTGACATCACCATCAGATTCAGCAGGCATATTGACCCTCTGTTCGCCCACCACCACGTTGACTCTGCATTCCAAGTTCCAGATTCGCCGCAGCAATTGCCTTCTGTGTCGTCCTTCTGCTTGGTGGAGTCACGAAAGAACCTCCATGACCCTTGGACGCTGCCAACGAAGTCGACGATGCGCCTCCTCCCTTGCCAATCACACCTTCACTCCATCGCCTGAAACTCCACAGGCGAGACAGCTTCAGGCAGAGAGTCGGGCTCAATCTCATCTTTCAACTTTCTAGAGTAAAAAGGATTGATGTCGCCCCTTTCCAGTTCAGACCCTTCGCGGGGTAAAGATCTGGCCCTATCCATGGCAGGAGCAATGAGATGACCGTGGTCGGAAAAAACCTAGGACGTCGGGTTCATAACCCTTGTCAGGGCTGGGTCTTTTCCCACAAACTTGAGATCAAAATGCCTAAGAAAGTCAGCTGGATTGACAGACTTAGAACTGAGTCCTGATGAGTGACGCTGATTCCGTTTGGAAATCTGAACGTTGCTGATGGATCCGAACATCAATCCGGCAAGATTATTGCAATACAGTATTACTTACACCCACTATTTTTTGTTTGCAGAATTTGCTAAGTATTGATTGAGGCAATCAAGTGCTGGTGGTATCAGGGTAATGTGGCCGGACCTCAGGTTTGGTGCAGCTGGGTGTCGGCCTCGGCAGATCCAGTCTCACAGCTGGTACCAAGTCATACAAAAGCAGTGCTGTTCTCAATTTCTGTCAAACAGGGTTGCTAGCACAACTTGATGTGGCGAAATTTGTCCTCCCGTTTGAAGTACCTTCGAGGCCCCCTGAATTGATGCAACGTCTCTGGCAAGCATCCCAAGGTGCAGTTGGGCAAATATTCACAGTTACCAGCAAATTTGATGTAGCTAAGAGCTGTCAACTCACCTATAGTGGGGAACTAGTAGACACATATTACATGTATAGTATAGGTCTTCCTGCAAAAGTTTCAGTGGAGCTGAGTGGCACGGGGGTCGCATTTGCCCCTACCTCATGTGGGGTCGCATTTGCCCCTGCTCAAGGTGGAGGTAGGGGCGAATGTGACCCCTGCTTTTGTGTGGCAGGCGCAATAGTTTCAGAGCCTCGAAAGGATCTTTTCCAGCTCAGATAGTCATTTTCACGTGTTACGTTGTAAAAACCATTTCAAGCAACCCCAAGACGCTGGAAGTTTGGTTGTGACATCCATTTCAACCGACCATTTCAAGCAACTCCAAGACAATGTGGATGCTACGTTGCAACATCCATTTCAATCAACTTCCCAGACGCTCTGGATGCTACGTTGTAACATCCATTTGAAGTCAGTTCCAAGAAGCTCTGCGATGCTGCGTTGTCACATCCAGTTTAATCAGCTTCCAAGACGCTCTGGATGCCACGTTGTAACATGGCATCCATTTCAAGCAGCTCCAAGACGCTGTGGACACTACGTTATAACAACCATTTCAATCAACTTCCCGGACGCTCTGGGTGCTACGTTGTAACATCCAATTTGAAGTCCGGTCCAAGACGCTCTGGATGCTGCGTTGTAACATCCTTTTCAATGAACTTTCAAGACGCTCTGGATGCTACGTTGTAACATCCAACGTGAAGTCAATTCCAAGACGCTCTGGATGCTGCGTTTTAACATCCAGTTTAATCAGCTTCCAAGACGCTCTGGATGCTACGTTGTAACATCCATTTCAATCAACTTCCCAGACGCTCTGGAGGCTACGTTGTAACATCCATTCAATCAACTTCGCAGACGCTCTGCATGCTATGTTGTAGCATCCATTTGAGGCAACTCCAAGACGCTCTGGATGCTATGTGGCACGATTTGTGCATGTGTGGTTTCAGTGTCTGCATGTGAGAAGACTACACTTTAAGGGCGTTGATTTTTTGCCTGGGGTTGCCCTTGTTTTTGACTTGCAGTGTGGCAAGTAAGATGTAACCTAACCAAAGTGGTGGCTTACTCAATGTCCCCAAGTCCCCCCTAAGCAATGTCCCCAAGTCCCCCTAAGCAATGTATACCCAAGTCCCCCCCTAAGCAATGTCCCCAAGTCCCCCCCTAAGCAATGCCCCCAAGTCCCCCCTAAATGTCCCGTGTCCCCAGGTCAAACCCTAAAAGGTTGAATGACATATTCAATAGTGAGGCAAGTGACTTAACCAATGTCCCCAAGTCCCCCCTAACCAATGTCCCCAAGTCCCCCCCTAAGCAACGTATATATTATATACCCAAGTCCCCCCTAAATGTCCCCAAGTCCCCCCTAAGCAATGCCCCCAAAGTGCCCCCTAAATGCCCCGTGTCCCCAGGTCAAACCCTAAAAGGTTGAATGACACATTCAATGGAAGGGATAGTGGGGTAGGGACGAATGTGACCCCTTTTGGGGTAGGGGCGAATGTGACCCCTGGGGTAGGGGCGAATGTGACCCCCGTCCCGAACGGAGTTGTAGAGTTCTTGCAACTTGTTGAGTGTCGGCTTTGGGGCAAGGGCCTAGCAGCTAGTGCCGCGTGAGACTTCTTCTTCGGCGCAATGCATCCGAGTAAGTAGAATTGAAATGGGAAGACCCGTGAGATCAGTGAACTGCAGCAAGGAAATGCATACTGAATTTAACCCACCACGCGTTCGAAGTGTGCAAAGCCTGTTTTAGTAAGACTCATTGTAGGGAACACAACAGAACTCTTGAACACAACAGAACTCTTGATGTTGGAGCAGGAGGAGCGATTTTTCAGGAATACCATTCCAACTTCCACGCAAATTCCATAACTCAGCTCCTCAGATGCCAGGAAACCGCGATGCTACAGGCATCGGATTGTAGACCCAAACATTGGTGTTGCTGCGATGTCCCAGCAAGCTGTAGATTTCAGGTTTTGGAGTTTTATCAGTTTGTTCACATCCTTTCTCTCAGCAAGGTTGGGCTTCATCCCATTTTGTTTTGGCTCGGAAATGAATACACTTGCTCTGGCTAGAATAAACGGGTGTTAAGGTATTTAATCAAATGTCTGAATGTTCAGTCAGACACTGACTCTGATGTGACACTTCTCTGCCATGCTTTGTCCGTAAAATTCCTTTAACATTGCTTTATATTGCTTTAACATGTTCCTTAAAATGTTTCGCGCTGTGAAGTCCCCTCTGGGGTCCATTCAGAGGTGAACCAAGGCAGCAACCTCTGCGAGAATTTGTGGCAAGTCCGCCTTCGGTTCAATTGCATGGCAGTACAATTTGAGTTTTGGGGGCGTGCTTGAATCTGAGAACATGTCTATAATTTCCCAACATAATTTCCGGAGTTGGCAAGGCAGGCTATTGCAGCATAATACAGTTTATAATTCTCAAAGGTCTCAAAAGAAGTTTAGGAGGCAAACTTCTGTGTTACGGAGAATTAAGGAGAGCATGGTAGACAAGAGAAGCGAAGAGAAGAGAAGAGAAGCGAAGAGAAGAGGAGAGACGAGAAGAGAAGAGAACAGAAGATAAGAATAGAGCAGAGCAGAGCTGACCTTGCACACGTCCTAGAGGCAATTTTTCTTTTTTTGCCCTACAGCTCTTCGTTTTACAAACCATTCATCGGGCAATGAAAGTGGACAATTGCCTACCAAAATTTGATCTTCCCAGAGTGTGCAGGTCCTGGTGGCAAAGTGCAGCCTTTGTTGGATTTGCTCGGAAAGTGTCTTCAAGGTGGTGCAGCCAGCCTTGGAAAAGAAATGAACTTGTACGATTTGGTATGGCATAGCTCTGGGTTCCCCATTAGTTCCACGAAATGGTGCCCTTTCATGGCCAGCACAGCGACACCGACTCTGTTCGGAAGTAGCGCCCTGGACATCAGTTCATTTGGCAGTGCAGATGTATAGACAGACGATCCTCAAGGGGCTGAAAACAGATTTTGATTTAGGACCCGACCGCGTTTGCTACATTTATAGGTGCCAGCTTAGTTGCATCACAGCTAGGTGAAAGGCATGGTTTGGAGATTATGACCATCTACCAGGAGCAGCGCTGGGTACACTATACCATACAGCTGAACCCTTTCCACTTGAGGAAGCGTTAGATGAACTGGCAGCCTGCAACTCATTGTTTTTTACTTGCGAACATGCAGCGCCTTACCCAAGGTTAATAGAACAAGTAGTTCGTGTTTGCAGTCAACAAGGCCCTGGCAACCCCATATTTGATGATAAGCAAACAATCTCATTTTGAGGCGCAGCATTTTGACCCATTCTGCAATGTTTAAGGCTTGGCCTCTATAGCTCTACTTCAAACATTTTGTCTTGCAACAGCCTGCCAATGAGGAGCCGTTGCCACTGCCTGGTCTCAACATTTGTCAGGTCACATGTGACCTTGGGAATGAGTAAACGTTGCACCGCAAAATGCTTCGAATACACCATGCAATGTCAATTGGGTGGAACCCCTGAAGCAGGATGTGAAGGGTGATGGTTAGAAGTGATGAAACGGCAAAGTGCTGCAGGACACGTGACACGAAGAAACACATGCTTTTGAACTCGGGCAAAATATCCTACCCTGCCAGACTTTCCACATCTTTATCTACAAGCCAGCCACAAACAAAGCAACCAACCACTCATCATTCATTGGCGGAGGTGAGGCAGCAACTGAGCCGCAATGGGTCATCCAATCCAATCCAGAGGCGCACATTTTCGCCATGCAAGTGGAGTAGAGAGTTATTTGGATTTGAGCCCTGGCTGGAGTTGGGGTCGATGAAGCTGGAGTCCCTTTGCTTGTGCCAGGATGCATGAAGCCACCAAAGCTGAACGCGTAGCACACGGCTTAGATCGTTCATGGTCCCTCCCTGTACAGATTTACCGTGTCTTGCTTCAGATTGAATAGGCACTATGACCCCATAGCCCTGTATGTCGGAAACATACAGCGTGAGAAGCCCCTTAAATGCTTATCAATTGCCCCTCATAGCACTGTACGCGGGAAACATAGCGCCTGGAAGCCCTGACGCCACGAAGATGCAACACAGGACCTGGAAGCCGTGATACGCCACTAAGATGCCTTTCGCCCAACCCTCCTAGCCCTGTATGTTGACAACCTGCAGCCACTGGAACGCCACAAAAAAGCCTTTCACCCAACCCTCGTCCTCCTGTATGTTGCACACAAGGCTTGGGAAACCATCAAAATGCCTTTCACCCAACCCGCTTAGCCTTGTCTGTTGGCAACCTACAGCCTGGGAAATCACGAAGATGCCTTTCACCCAACCCTCCTAGCCCTGTATGTTGGCAACTTACAGCCTGGGAAACCAGTAAGATGCCTTTCACCCAACCCTCCTAGCCCTGTATGTTGGCAACCTGCAGCCACTGGAAAGCCACAAAAAAGCTTTTCACCCAACCCTCGTCTTCCTGTATGTTGCACACAAGGCTTGGGAAACCATCAAAATGCCTTCCACCCAACCCGCTTAGCCTTGTATGTTGGCAACCTACAGCCTGGGAAATCACTAAGATGCCTTTCACCCAACCCTCCTAGCCCTGTATGTTGGCAACTTACAGCCTGGGAAACCAGTAAGATGCCTTTCACCCAACCCTCCTAGCCCTGTATGTTGGCAACCTGCAGCCTGGCAGCCACAAAAAAGCCTTTCACCCAACCCTCGTCTTCCTGTATGTTGCACACAAGGCTTGGGACACCATCAAAAAGCCTACAGCCTGGGAAATCACTAAGATGCCTTTCACCCAACCCTCCTAGCCCTGTATTGGCAACTTACAGCCTGGGAAACCAGTAAGATGCCTTTCACCCAACCCTCCTAGCCCTGTATGTTGGCAACCTGCAGCCACTGGAAAGCCACAAAAAAGCTTTTAACCCAACCCTCGTCCTCCTGTATGTTGCACACAAGGCCTGGGAAACCATCAAAGTGCCTTTCACCCAACCAGCTTAGCCTTGTATGTTGGCAACCTAAAGCCCGGGGAAATCACTAAGATGCCTTTCACCCAACCCTCCTAGCCCTGTATGTTGGCAACTTACAGCCTGGGAAACCAGTAAGATGCCTTTCACCCAACCCTCCTCCACAAAAAAGCCTTTCACCCAACCCTCGTCCTCCTGTATGTTGCACACAAGGCTTGGGACACCATCAAAAAGCCTACAGCCTGGGAAATCACTAAGATGCCTTTCACCCAACCCTCCTAGCCCTGTATTGGCAACTTACAGCCTGGGAAACCAGTAAGATGCCTTTCACCCAACCCTCCTAGCCCTGTATGTTGGCAACCTGCAGCCTGGAACACAAAAAAGCCTTTCACCCAACCCTCGTCGTTCTGTATGTTGCACGCAAGGCTTGGGAAACGATCAAAATGCCTTTCACCCAACCCGCTTAGCCTTGTATGTTGGCAACCTAAAGCCTGGGAAATCACTAAGATTCCTTTCGCCCAACCCTCCTAGCCCTGTATGTTGGCAAGTTACAGCCTGGGAAACCAGTAAGATGCCTTTCACCCAACCCTCCTAGCCCTGTATGTTGGCAACCTGCAGCCTGGAAAGCCACAAAAAAGCTTTTAACCCAACCCTCGTCCTCCTGTATGTTGCACACAAGGCTTGGGAAACCACCAAAAGCCTATAGCCTGGGAAATCACTAAGATGCCTTTCACCCAACCCTCCTAGCCCTGTATTGGCAACTTACAGCCTGGGAAACCAGTAAGATGCCTTTCACCCAACCCTCCTAGCCCTGTATGTTGGCAACCTGCAGCCTGGAAAGCCACAAAAAAAACCTTTCACCCAACCGTTGTTATCCTGTATGTTGGGAAATCACTAAGATGCCTTTCGCCCAACCCTCCTAGCCCTGTATGTTGGCAACTTACAGCCTGGGAAACCAGTAAGATGCCTTTCACCCAACCCTCCTAGCCCTGTATGTTGGCAACCTGCAGCCTGGAAAGCCACAAAAAAGCCTTTCACCCAACCCTCGTCCTCCTGTATGTTGCACACAAGGCTTGGGAAACCATCAAAAGTCTTTCACCCAACCCTCTTAGCCTTGTATGTTGGCAACCTACAGCCTGGGAAATCACTAAGATGCCTTTCGCCCAACCTTCCTAGCCCTGTATGTTGGCAACTTACAACCTGGGAAACCACCAAAATGCCTCTCACCCTACCCTCCTGACCCTGTATGTTGGCAACCCGCCTGCAAAGCCACTGAAATGCCTTTAACTTAACCCTCCAAACACTGTATGTTGGCAAATTACACCGGCATAGACCCCAGATAGAAAAGCTTTCAGAAACGCTTTTTTATGCGGTGCGAATTGGTTGCGGCAAAAGCTGAACTTCTACGTTGGAACCAATGCTTCCCAATCTTGGAACCACGAGTTCCCAGTTCAAAAATTGCCAGTTCCCAAACGTTCGAACCAGTGCTACCCAATCTTGGAACCACGGGTTCCCAGTTCTAGGAACTAGCGGTTCCCAAACATTGGAAACAATGCTTCCCAATCTTGGAACCACGGGTTGCTAGTTCTAGGAACTGCTGGTTCCCAAAAGTTGGAACCGATGCTTCCCAATCTTAGAACTGCGGGTTCCCAGTTCTAGGAACTAGCAGTTCCAAAAAGTTGGAGCCAATGCTTCCCAATCTTGGAACCACGGGTTCCGAGTTGGAAGAACTGATGGTTCCAAACGTTGGAACCAATGCTTCCCAATCTTGGAACCACGGGTTCTCAGTTCGAGGAACTGCTGGTTCCCAAAGGTTCGAACCAATTCTTCCCATGTTGGAACCACGGGTTCCCAGTTCTAGGAGCTGCTGGTTCCCAAACATTGGGCCCGATGCTTCCCAGTCTTGGAACCACGGGTTCCCATTGCAAGGAAGTAGCGGTTCCCAAACATGGGAACCGATGACGATGTTTTTCCAGAAATAACGAAACCTAGCTGTGCTAGCTGAAGTTGCTCTTGCTTTAGCAAGGAATAGGCAGGCACTAGGACCATTGGAAACCCTGAAACTTTCCAGTTAGACCACCCCCCTGGCAGGCCCAGGTTCCATCCCCCCTGGTCCCCCCCGAGCCCCCCCCCGAGAAGCGATTTCCGGCTGGTAGAGGGTCATCATCTTCATTTTCATCTTCATCCTCACCCTCCTCATCCTCATCCTCATCCTCATCCTCATCATCATCATCATGCCCATCATCCGCAGCATCCACATCATCATCATCATCATCATCATCATCAGCAGCATCATCATCATCATCATCATCCTCATCCTCATCCTCATCCTCATCTTCATCCTCATCCTCATCCTCTTCGTCCTCCTCATCGTTGATCAGCATCCTCATCCCCTGGTCCCGCTGGGCCATTGGTTTCCTGCAGGTATAGGGTCGTCCTCTTCAGTATTTCATCTTCAGGACGTCATGTTCAGTAAACCAACCAACAACTCTATAAAATAATCATCGGAAACTTGCCGGCTTCCAAATGATCATAATTATTATCCTCCTCCTCCTCCTCGTCATCATCATCATCAGCAGCATCATCGTCATCGTCATCGTCATCGTCATCGTCATCGTCATCATCATCATCATCATCATCAATAAAGTCCTCATCCTCATCCTCCATCCCCATCCCCATCGTCATCCTCATCCTCATCCTCATCCTCATCCTCCTCATCATCGTCCTCCTCCCCGTCCTCCTCCTCCTCATCATCATCATCATCACCATAATCCCCATCATTCGCAGCATCCACATCATCATCATCAACAACAACAACATCATCATCATCATCATCCTCAACCTCCTTATCATTATCATACATATGTTGCATCGTCTCGAACATCTTTATGCAGATTCGGGCTTCCATTTGGGGGGCGTTTTTTTTTGACATTGCGCTTCTTTCGCAAGCAAGACTTGGCGAGAGACGATTACTGCATTGGGGGGTTTTGGCTTGCTGGACTCAATAGATTTTGCAGCCCTACAACAGCCCTGCTCATCATAATCACCATCCTCATTTTCATCTTCATTGTCATCCTCAGCATCCTGATCATCCTCATCATCCCCATCATGTTCATCATCCTCATCATTCTCTTCGTCCTCATCATCGTCGTCATCACCTCATTCCTGTTGCCATCACTTTCGTCATCATCAGTTTCCTTCATCGTTCTGGTCAGAAACCTCATCAACATCAAAAGAGTGGCACTGTTTGTGACTTGCAGCAACTCCAAAAAACCACGTGAGACCGTTGCCGCATTCCGACTTCACCTTGCTAATCCCCCTTTACGATTAGCACCCTACCCCAGCCCTGCTAGCTTTCGCACCTCCCCTGGCCTCAAGTGTGTTGAAAAACTGCGATCCCCACGAGTCAGAAGCCATTTGCGCACAGGTTCCCAGTTCCAGGAACCGGCGGTTCCCAAACATTGGAACCGATGCTTCCAAATCTTGGAACCACTGGTCGTTGGAATCCATGCTTCCCAATCTTGGAACAGTGTGTTTACAGTTCCAGGAACTGCTGGTCCCCAAAGGTTGGAACCAATGCTCCTGCATGTTGGCACGCTACAGCCTCGGAAACCATTAAAATACCTTTCACCTAACCCTCCTTGCCCTGTATGGCAACCTACAGCCTGGGAAACCACTGAGATGCCTTTCGCCCAGCCCTCCTAGCCGTATGTTGGCAACCTACAGCCTGGGAAACCACTGAGATTCCTTTCGCCCAACCGTCCTAGCCCTGCAATTAAGATGCCTTTCACCCAACCCTCCTAGCCCTGTATGTTGGCAACCTACAGCCTGGAAAACCACTAAGATGCCTTTCACCCAGCCCTCCTAGCCCGGCTGGGAAACCATTAAGATTCCTTTCGCCCAATCCTCCTAGCCCTGTATGTTGGCAACCTACAACCAGGGAAACCGCTAAGATGCTTTCACCCAGCCCTCCTAGCCCTGTATGTTGGCTGGGAAACCACTAGGATGCCTTTCACCCTGCCCTCCTAGCCCTGCTGGGAAACCACTAAGATTCCTTTCGCCCAATCCTCCTAGCCCTGTATGTTGGCAACCTACAGCCAGGGAAACCACGCCCTCCTAGCCTTGTATGTTAGCAGCTTGCACCTTAAAACCATTGAGATGCTTGTCGCCCAACCGCCCAACCCTCCTAGCCTTGTATGTTGGCAACCTAGAGCCTGGTATCCCGGTATGTTGGCAACCTACAGCCTGAGAAACCACTCAGATGCTTCTGGGCAGAGTCAGCCACCCAATGACCGAGTCAGCACACCCTGAGCCAATCACTCTCTGCATCGGAGTCAGTCACAATAGTCCCTGGTAACGTGGCGTGGTGGGTTGAGGGCCCTTCTTGCGATTCCAGTGATGGCTTAGGGTAATTTTAGGGTTGGGCCGCGGTTTGTTTTAGGGTTTATTTAGGGTCTGTTTCTGGTTCATTTAGGCAGAGTTTAGGGTTTTAGGGTTGGTTTGGGGTTGGTTTGGGATTGGTTTAGGTTTCTTTTTAGAGTTGGTTTAGGGTGAATTAAGGGTTATTTTGGGCTTGTTTAGGATTTATTTAGGGTTGGTTTAGGATTTATGCAGGGTTTCGTAAGGGTTGTAGTTTATCATGGTTTGTTTGATATGTTTCGAGTTGGTTCAGGGTTGATTTGGGGTTAGTTTAAGGTTTAGTTAGGGTATGTTTCACACTGGTCTTAGGTCTCTTCAGGGTTTATCCGGGGTTGTTTTTAAATTAAGGAACCGCCCCTAAAATCCTTTCATTATTTGACCCCCCATAGCGATGTATGTTGACATACCGCTTCGGAAAGACCTTTAGACGCCTTTTTTCCTTTACCAGCGCGCAGCCTGGGAAGCCCTTGCATCAACTTGACGATGGGTCCATCCTCACATGCCCGCCTGGATGAATGCATGAACGCCTCCAACACTTTCCTTCAGCCTCCTTCGATTGATTTGCCCTGGCATCGTTTATTCAATTTATTCCTGACGTGTTCTTTAATTTTGAGCAGCAATGCGCTTAGTGCCCTTAGTGCAACATATTGCGCCCAAACTGTGTGTGTCTCGCATGTCTCAAACCAAGCGGTGCCAACCCCATATTCAAGCAGGCTTTTTGACCCCCAATTTCGATACAAGTAAGTCAAGCGAGGTGTTGTCACCATGTTGAAGTGCTTCTTTTCAACTGCATCCTGCGCTTCAAGGTGTCGTGGGATTGGAACCAGGACGTCTTACCCCCTGGGCAAATAAAATTCTTCGAATTCAAGCAGATCTTGCCGTTGGGAGCCCGGGTGAGGCGAAACAACATGATATTGGTCCACAATCTTGCCAAGCAAAGCTGAGGAGATTTTGAGCAGTAAATGAAACCTTCTTGGCTTCGGAATTTGCAAGCGTCGTGTCGCTGAATGCTTCGAATACATCATTAGTAGCTTAAGGAAGAAAGATGCCGAGATACCTTTTTATTCCTGTGTAGTGGATGGTCTCGGGGGCCTGTGGCTCCCTGATCATTGATGGAAACCAAACCTGCCGCACGATAATCCTTTCATCTATATACCCCCTAAGTGTTTCAATGAGTTCACAAGGAAGAGAATTGGCCCCGTATTGCCCGCTCTAGACGAAACTTCTCCCGACTCAGGGGTGGACTTGGGCCCTCTGAAACGCGAGTGCAGACGGCTTACAGAGCAGCCTTGGAACTTACACACGTTGTCGAGTTGAAAAACTGATCTGTGATCTAGTCAAAAGAAGTTTAGGAATCTATACTTCCGCGTACCGGATTTTTAAAATCAAAGCCAAGGGATGTCAAAGCATTGGGATGTCACAGCAATGGGATGTCAAAGGGGTGACATGTCAAAGCAGTGGGATGTCAGAGCAAATGGATGTCACAGCAAAGGGATGCCAAACCAAATAGCTGTCAAAGCAATGGGATGTCAAAGCAGTGGGATGTCAAAGCACATTGCTGTCAAAGCAGTGGGGCGTCACAGCAAAGGGATGTCAAAGCATTGTGATGTCACAGCAAAGCGATGTCAAAGCAATGGGATGCCAAAGCAGTGCAATGTCAAAGCAATGCGATGGGATGTCAAAGCATAGGATGTCACGTCGAAATTCCTGAGCTTGACATCTGAACCTAACACCACAAGTCTCAAAGAGTCTCGATACTACCTGCTACGGCGCTGACGCAGCCAATCAGCAGGGGCGAAAGATTCAAACACAAATCAAATTCGGATGCTTGAATTCCAAATGCAAACCACGGCAGTGAAACTAAGTTAGCCGTGAAACTGACTCAGCTGTGAAACACTGATACGGTCTTGCACTTGAAAAATGATCGGATGCGGCGAATCTCACAACTTTGGAGATCACCTTTCTTGATGAAATTTGTTTTCAAATCAACGCAGTGAAACTTGAAAGAAGTCACACAGCAGTGCAAACTAACCAGTGGTGACGAAATTCGGCCTTGGGCAATCGGCTGAAGGCAAACTAAAAACACAGTGGCAAAAGACCGGACATGGGAATCAAATGAAACTTCAACGGATGTCAGTCCCAAAAGATGCAAATCCAGAATACGATGCTGTTGGGGCGGCGCCGCAGCAGCCAAACGCCCAAAGGCTGAGACGAAGTGAAATGCGAATGCAAGGTGAAAAACACTGAGCGGACCTACTGCTGTGAGTGGTGATAACGGATGAATCCTTCAAAGCGATCAATCACCCACTCTTCCGACACAGACCACATGCTAAATTCCCAGCCCAACACCTGAGGTTGTCGAGGTTTACGCGCTTGCAGAGCAATCTGACTGCTCTCCTGGAACTCTGCCAAGATCCCTGGCTGATCGTCTGAGATGATGATCTGGCCGTCAGTGACCGACTTAAGAGTACGGAGCTTTCCCAACTCACCAGTCCTCTCTGTTGTGATGAAAACACAATCCACTGGCAATCGAGAATGCTGCACTGCCGTCACAAGATTCTGCTCGTTGACAACGCTTTCGTGAATGTGGCTCATAATCAGAATTTTGACGTAGGCACCAAGGCTCTCAATCAAGTTGCGCAACCTTGTAATCGTCTCAACGTGCCTTGGAGGCAACGCACCCGCACTCGAAACTTGATCAACACCACCCCTGGCACCGTAACGGTGTCAATCACTTGATGATAATCAAAGGCAATCACAGGACACTCTCCCCACTTGTAGAAATGATCTCGAAGTGGAACCAAACGCATCTGCTGATGCCAAAAATAAACTTTCGCTGTTGCAGGAAGCTGCATTGCACGGCCCGGAGCTGCCGGCCTCTTGGATGGATCAGTCACACACCCAAGCGGAGGATGAAAGAAGCGCAAAGGATCGAAAGTCGAAAAAGAAGATGGCAAAGATGAACTCGATGAAACCCCTTGAGCAGCCCTGGCCGATGCCTTCGCCTTAGAAGTTGGCACCCACAGTTTCGCCCTCGGAACAAGTTCCTCTGCCTGAAGCGGAGTGAGATCAATCACGTTCTCGTGCTGAACAATCTCAACCTCGGCTTCCTCTTCCTCCTCCAGCTCCCCCTCCGAGTCCGAAGGCTCCCAGTAGTTGGAAGTGTACAACGGACGGCTAACACCGCCCGTGTGCACCACTGGGATGGTCAACAGATCAACCAATCGCTCCTCCGCAGCACGTAACAGAAACGCGTTCCTGCAGTCAAAGCCAAGGGATGCCGAAGCAATGGGATGTCAAAGCAAACGGATGCCAAAGCAAAGGGATGTCAAAGGAATGGGATGTCACAGCAAAGAGATGTCAAAGCTTGGGGTTGTCACAGCACAGGGATGTCAAAGCCAAGTTATGTCGAAGCAATGGGATGTCAAAGCAAATGGATGCCAAAGCAAGGGATGTCAAAGGAATGGGATGTCACAGCAAAGACGTCGAAGCATAGGGATGTCACAGAAAAGGGATGTCAAAGCAGAGGGATGCCAAAGCATAGGGATGTCAAAGCATGGGGATGTCACAGCAAAGGGATGTCAAAGCAAACGGATGTCAAAGCAAAGGGCTGCCAAAGCAAAGGGATTTCAAAGCAAAGGGATGTCATAGCATTGAGATGCCACAGCAATGAGATGTCAAAGCAAAAGGCCGTCAAAGCAATGGGATGTCGCAGCAAAGGGATGTCAATTGTAGAACCCCCGTTTGGCTTAAGACTGCTTTGGCCGTTTTGGTGCAGGAGGGGGGGGGTATTGGTGCACGGCTGGCGCGCGGAAAAGGAAAATAGGGGCAAGGGTGGGTCTGGGAAGGGAAAAATAGGTGCGGGAGTGGGTTCTTGCCGATCTATGGATCCAGTCGGGATCTCGTCCCAGTCGGGCACCAATTTTTGCATTTTTGGGCACCGCTTTTGGCCAGTCGGGATCCAGTCGGGATCCAGTCGGGCACCAATGTCGGGAGGCAGCCAAATTCATAAAAAATAGCATTTTTGCAGTGTTTTTGCGCGTTTTTGGGTGATTTTGGCTGCTTCCCGACAGGTCCAAACGTGGTGCCAAAAATTCGAAAATTGGTGCCCGACTGGATCCCGACTGGATCCCGACTGGATGCCGACTGGCCAAAAGCGGTGCCCAAAAATGCAAAAATTGGTGCCCGATTGGGTCCCGACTGGGTCCCGGCTAGGTCCCGACTGGATCCCGACTGGGTTTCTTCAAAAAAACACCTATTTCCCTAAATTTGAGCACCTATTTTTGAAATTTTAGCACCTTGCCGTGCACCACCCCCCCCCTCCGGACCCCCCCCACCAGTCTTAAGCCAAACGCGGGCAACTCAAGATGTCAAAGCAAACGGATGTCAAAGCAAATGGATTTCAATGCAAAGGGATGTCAAAGCATTAGGATGTCACAGCAATGAGATGTCAAAGCAAGTGGCTGTCAAAGCAATGGGATGTCGCAGCAAAGGGATGTCAAAGCAAACGGATGTCAAAGCAAAGGGCTGCCAAAACAGTGGGATGTCAAAGCTTCAACTTTCAGTTTTTGAGGGAAGTCTCGCACGAAAGCTTTGTTTTCACATCTTCAACTTTCAGTTTTGAAGGATGTCTCGCACGAAACATTCGTTTTCACATCTTCAGCTTTCAGATTTGGCGCCGAGATCCGGTTCTGACGCTTTTGCGCATAATTTTATTGTGTTTGCAACTTGGTCTCTGCAGATCGCACTGTAATGGCTGCGTCAAGGTTACTTGGTGCCGCGGCTGCGAGCGTAACTGAAGGAAGTTTAGAAGTCAAACTTCCGACAGTAACATGGACAGATGGAAAAAAGCAGAGATGGGAAGAGTCAGAGAAGAGAAGAGAAGAAGAAAAAAAGATCAGAGGAGAAAAAGAGTCAGAAGAAAGACTATGCAGGTGTGCACAAAGGTATAGAAAAGTTGCGAAGCTATGTGTTTCCAATGTTTTGTGGCTCCGGAGGGTCGAAAAGTAGGTACGGTAGGCTTGCTAAAGTGGCGGGTGCGGAGCCATCTGGGGAGATGAGAGATGGAAAATTGCACGCAGCTGTGTCGCGAACAGATTTCGAAGTCAAAAAGCTAAAAGCATTTCACGCCCGGAGCACTTTGGAGAGTTGAGATGTTGAAAAGTGCACAGCGTTGTGGCGCGAAGCACATGTCGAAATCAAAAGTATTAAAGCACACCACATTCGGACCACTTTTGGACGCTCACGACACTACACACAGCACCACCACCACCGCCACCACCACCACCAGAACAACAACAACAACAACACAACACAACACCACAACTACAACTACAACTGCAAGTATAAGTACAACTACAAGTACAAGTACAACTACAACTACATCACACCACGCTACACTAATGACACTACGGTACGCTAGACTACCCCACACCACCCCACACCACCCCACACCACACCACACTACACTGCACAACACTACACTACACTACGACTACAAGTACAACTACAACTGCAAATATACTACGCTACATTACACTACCCTAATTAGACTACACTACTACACTAATAACTCTACACCATGCCAATTACACTACAACCACAACAACAACAACCACAACAACAACATCATCAACAACAACAACAAGAACAACAAGAACAACAAGAACAACAAGAACAACAACTACTGCTACGACTGCTACGACTGCTACGACTGCTACTACTGCTACTACTGCTACTACTGCTACTACTGCTACTACTGCTACCACAACTACATTACATTACACTACACTACGTTACACTACACTACAGCTACAGCCACAGCTAATACTACAACTACACTACTTTACGCGACACTAGACTACACTACTTTACTACACTGCAGTACACAACACTACAGTACACACACTACACTACACTACACTGCACTGCACTGCACTGCACTACACTAATTACGTCACACCACAGCTACAGCTGCAACTGCAATTACAACTACACTACACTAATTACACCACACTACAACTACAACTCCACTACACTACAAGTACTACAACTACAACTGCGCTACGCCACTCTACATCCAGCAGTTGTGGGTGAGGTGACCACTGCAACCATTGCAACCACTCCCAAAAACACAACTTCAACCACCTTTCGGTCCATCAGTGGATTCGCTCTGCCATCCATGCATCACAACAGCTCACCTCTCCTATAATATCCTATCTTTGAAACTTCCGCCACTGCCTTGTGCGGTACTACTGTTACTATTGTCTTTTGCAGCTGGACATCGTAAATCGTAATGGAGTGGCTGCATCAAGGTTGCGACGGTGATTTGCCAGCAGATTTTCTCAATTTTGGCGCTGGTGATTTTCCTTTAAAAATTCCTTTTTCTTGTGCTTCAAAATCGTTTTTTTTGCTTTGGCGATTTGGCGCCGAAATCCGGATTTGGAGCTGCAATTTCTGGCGCCGTTCCGCGAAAAAGATTCTGTGTGAAAGCTTGCTGTGTGTAAAAGTTCCTGTGTGTAAAAACTTGCTGTGTGTAAAAACTTACTGTGTGTACGAGCTTGCTATGTGTAAAAGCTTCTCTGTGTAAAAACTTCTGTTTGTAAAAATACCATGTGTAAAGGCTTCTCTGTGCAGGGGCTTATCTGTGTGAAAACCTGCTGCGTGTAAAAAATGCTCTGTGTAGGGGTTTCTCTGTGTAAAAAATTGCTGTGTGTAAAAGTTTGCTGTGTGTAAAAACTTCTCTGTGTAAAGGTTTTCTGTGCAAATGCTTGTTGTGTATAACAGTTTCTCTGTGTAAAAAATTCTCTGTGTAAAAACTTGTTGTGTGTAAAGTACTTTGTGCATGTCTTGTAGTACAAAGTAGTACTGGGAAGTACTATGTGCAACTTTTTAAGGACAAAGTAGTGCTGGGAAGTCTGCTGAGCAAATTTTGTAGAACAAAGTAGTGCCGGGAAGTGCTGGTGCAAACTTTGCAGTGCAGAGTAGTACTGGGAAGTGCTTGTGCAACCTTTGTAGTAACAAGTAGTACAGGGAAGTGTTTTGTGCAAACTACCTTGTACAAAGAAGTACAGGGAAGTGTTTTGTGCAAGCTTTGTAGTACAAAGTAGTGCCGGGAAGTGCCTGTGCAAGTTTGTAGTGCAAAGTCCTACTGGGAAGTGCTTGTGCAACCTTCGTAGTGCAAAGTAGTAGGGTGGAAGTATTTTGTTCCAGCTTCGTAGTACAAGTCGTACTGGGAAGTACTTTTTGCGAGTCTTGTAGTGCAAAGTAGTACTGGGAAGTGCTTGTGCAACCTTCGTAATGCAAAGTAGTAGGGTGGAAGTACTTTGTTCCAGCTTCGTAGTACAAGTAGTACTGGGAAGTATTTTTTGCGAGTCTTGTAGTACAAAGTGGTACTTGGTGGGAAGTGCAGTGGGTTTTGGGCTGAGCTGAGATGATCTGAGAGTGTGCTGGGAAGAGCTGAGATGAGGTGGGAAGAGCTGATAAGAGCTGAGATCAGCTGAGAGGATGTGAGAAGAGCTTAAAAGATGTGAGAACAGGGGAGAGGAGATGAGAAGACATAAGATGAGCTGACATGAGTTGCGGGGAGCCGAGAAGAGTTGAGAAGAGCTATGAAATCTGAGGAAAAGTGGGGTAAGCTGAGGTGAGATGAGATGGGATGACCTGACAGGAGAAGAGTTGGTGAAGAGCTGAGAAGAACTGAGTTGAGACGAGCTGCGTAGAATGGAGAAGTTGAGCAGAACTGAAAAGAGAAGAGTTGAGATGTGCTGAGACGAGATGAGAAAAGCTCAGGTGACATGAGCAGAGATGAAAACAGTTGTGATCAGCTGAGAAGAACTGAGAAAGAGAGAGAAGAAATGAGATGGATGAGAGGAGATGACGTGAAAAAAACGGAGAAGACATGAGATGAGATGAATTGAGATCAGGTGGGATGACACAGACTGCGGTGACAATGCTATGCAATGAACAATTTCCAAGAGAAGCTGCGATGCGATGAGATCAGATGAAATGAGAAAAGATCCAACATGCAAAAGACATGGCACTAGAATGACAAGCCAAGAGATTGTTGCTGCGAAGTCTTAGTCTTTGTTCCGCTCTATAGGCTATGTGTGTTTCAACCTTGAAACTTCCGTCCCCTGGCTTGCCCGGGAACTCCTTGGAAAATCTACTCCGATTTGAAATATCCGCACACTGTTGTCTCTCAAGTTCGAACCAGGCTTTTTGTGCCATTTTATTTTGAATTTCTGGTGAACTTCGGTTGAACTGACGGACTTTCTGCAGATGGTTGCAACTTGCCCTAGGTCTGCAGTGTATCACTTGGAGCCTGATGATCCGGACCAGGCATTTTTGGATATTTTGGGCATGCATGGGGATGGTTCCTTGGAGGCCTTAAAAGTGCAGACCCTGCGTTGGTTTGGCCTCGGGGTTTTCTGCACGCACTGGGAGGGTCTGTGCGCGTTTGCACCCCAAAGTTCTGGAGACCAGCCCAGCTTGGCTCGGTTGAAATTCGTTGATGAAGGCAGAGGAATTGCAGAGGCTGTCTCCATTCGTTGATCAATGCACTTTCTGAATCAGCGGCGCTGTGAAAGCTTGCGAATAACCAGTTTTGTTGGGTCAGTCCTCTCATTGAAGGGGCCTTTGAACTCGGAAATTGAAGAGGCTGCCCTTGAGTCTACAGTGAACGATTTAATTTTCCTGATTTCACACTCTGTAGATCTTTGAGGTCGAATTGGAATGAATTGGAGAATTGTGTCGCTTGGGAATATTTGTTTTGAACTACATGGGGTGTTGAAATCAACAGCGTCGGTGGTTGCTAGGTGATCTTACACAAGGCCACGAAACCCTGGGCAGGATGCTAAGTTGTGTCGCTCTTTGCGTTGTGTGAAGTTTGCATGCATCATTCATACTTGCACATACTTTTTACGAGTACTTGTAGGGGCTGGCCGGTGAATTTTCACTTTGGGTTCTTGGCCGTTGATTCAAGGCATTTGTCTGTTTTGGAAAATATTAGGGAAACAGCAGAGTTGCTGGAATCATTTGATTGTGACCCTATTGCCTCACTCTTCTCATGGCTGAGTCGATGGTATACCGAGGATGTTCCTTTCAAGGATGACTTCCTAGTCTATCACAAACATATCTTTGCGAAGGCAAAGACACCGGATTGAGCGGTCTTGTAGTCATTTTGGAGTTGCGCTTTCAACCCTCAGGCAAGCTCGCAAGGCAAAATTGAAAAATTGGTTCTGAGCGTCTTGTTGACCGTCAGTACACTCGTAAAGTTGGGAAGCTTCTACTGTGAAGAAGGGTTAGTCAATTGTGGTGTGTGTTGAAGAGAGAACAGTTGAAATCTGAATGAACTTGTGTAAATTCTACGTGGAGAAAGGCTGAGAAGGCAGTCAGCCTGATATGCGGATATCCTCAATGCAAGAGCAAGAGCATGTGTTCCTTTCAATTGCGAGCCCGAGCCAAACTGCATGCATTTGTATTCCAACATTTTCCTAGTGATCAGTAGTGGTTACCTTCAACATTCCCCTTAGCGCAGGTTGCAAGTAAGTGCCGTGTTTTTTTCTCGGATGTCTTAAATTAGAGCTGGGACACGCGGCGAGCGCTCTAGCGAAGATACACTTGCCGACGTTTTTCTCTCCCGCATTTTGGTGCATCAACGCAACCACAGTATTGCAATTCTACAAATCCCAAAGCTGAAAGAATTCATTTCGGAGGGGGGCAATGGTATCCGGCCTGCAATGAAAATGTCTGAAGATGTCGGAAGCTTGTAATTTGTGAATTTCTGGCGCTCCTGGAGAGCTGCCAGGCTCCAGATGGATCAGCGCGGCTCTTAATTCGAAGGGTCTCGAGGTGATGTTGGGCAGGCGGCAATGGCAGTAGTATGTTGAGAACATTTGAGACCTGGTTGAACTTTGTTACCGACATGTTTTTACAGTCCAGATGCTGGCGATCTTTGACTTTTTGGCAACAGTACCGCCGTATGTGGGTAATTCATGGTAATGCAATGTGAACTGTATTGACACATCTTCCAAGGTCTCCCTCCAAATCGAGCTTGGTCTTTCGTGGATCGGCAGGCCTGTGTTTCTGTACTACAGGCATCAGCATGTTCTTGATCGATCGTGAATCTTATCTCTGGTACTCTTGACTCTTTCGTCCCTGTTGCCTTGATCATTTGGTTTTTCTCAATTCGGAAGATATGGAATGACAACTTTGACCTTCCGAAACAGTTCAATCAGGTGTACATCAACGATATGAACATGTATATATATATATATAATCATAAAGAGGATTAGGATTCGTAATCGGTATCGGAATCAGATTGATGTTGATGTCTTACACAAGTTTGTGCACACAGTGTACATGAGAAACGCAGCCCACCAGTTTTTGGGTTGCAAGCAATCATGTTCTCTTGAGAAAGAGGTTGTATATGGCGTACGGCGTACAGTATACAGTGCATGCACACGCACACACACACATGCACACTTTCTGTAGTTCATCTGAAATTATATACGTGCACTTTATTTGTATTCGTTTCTTTCCTTGGGCTATTTGGGCCTCCTGGATTATTAAGACACATTTTGACACAGCGGCCAAACAACAAAATGAAACCAATACAGTGAGCTGTGAATGGGCTTCAATCTGGGTTGTTGGTCTCATTTGTGCTGCAAAGTGCTTCCAATCTGTTTCTGCCCAGAAAGTCTGAATTCAGAAAGAGAACATTAACATTGAGCCCATTGATGCTTGTGATTCCGAGTTGATACCATCAGATTAGCCAAAAATCATTGCGTTTTTTTTAGGGCCGCCCCATCCTTGGACACCGGAGATGGGCCTTCGTTGGCTTCTGTTTTCCAGTTGCCGCAGCCGGTGCTCCGGCATGTGCCCAAGGGTGCTCGAGGGGTTTGGGCCCAGTGCTTGGCGCAAGCCTTGGGCCACGTGGCAGCCGAAAACAGCCTTCCCGCCTGGCGGAGCTGCTCATGCTGCCCAAGGCTGTCCTCCGGCCTGCCCCCTTGCAGGCATGCCAGTTCACATCGGCAGTGGCGAAGGAGGCGTTGATGACGGACGCACCCTTCAACAGCAACGCTGCCAGGGCTGCAGAAGGGGAGTTCTCCCGTGCATGTGCTGCCTTGGTCGCCCTTCCACTCCTGGGAGATGAGCCCGGAGAGGCCAGGCCAGCCTTGCTGCCCCTGGGCCCGCCTCCACTCGGTGTGGTCCCAGACCTTTCAACCGATATGGTTGTTCAAGCAGCCCGGCGGGTTCGTCGCGGCGGCCCTTCTGGCCTCCGAGGGGATCACCTCCGTGAGGCTTTGGCTTCATGCCATGAGGACGAGGTGGCTGTTCAGCTGGCTGCGGTGATGCGGCTGTTGACTACAGGGGCACCGAATTGGCACCCTTCGTCGCGGGAGCCACGCTCCACGCGTTGCCCAAAGGTGATGCTGATGTGCGTCCCATTGCTGTTGGTGAGACGCTCCGCCGGTTGTCCAGCAAATGCCTGTGTGAGGCTGTCAAGCCCGAGGCCCGAGCATGCTTGTTCCCTCTGCAGGTTAGCGTCTCTACGCCACTGGGGGGCCGAGGCGGCTATCCACACCACACAGCAGTGGGCCCGGCGCCGTGCTGGACAAACGGGCAAAGTGGTTTTGACAGTGGACTTTTCCAATGCGTTCAACGCTGCGGACAGGGCTGCCCTGCTCGCCAGGTTCGCCTTCACCTGCCTGGCTTGGCATGCTGGGCAGAATGGTGCTATCGTCTCCACTCCCATTTGTTTTTTCAAGGCACAACCCTTAGTTCTGAGGCTGGCATTCAGCAAGGTGATCCATTGGGGCCTTTACTTTTCTCGTTAGCACTGCAGCCGTGCTTACTTGCTGTCCAATCCGCACCGGCTGACCAGAAACCTGACTTGTGCCTGGCCTACCTCGATGGTGTGTGCTTGGCCGGGTCTACTTTGCAGGTCAGCAGCGCTTGACTGCAGCTGCCCGCCAAAGGTCGGGCTTGTCGTCAACCCTGGGAAGTGTGAGCTAGTTGCCTGTGGCGGCGACCGTGCTGCAGTGGATGTGAGCTTGTTCCCGCACCACCTTCCGCTCAACACCGCCGGGGCAGCCGGGGCGTTTGCCTTGTTGGGGGCGCCTATTGGGCCCGCGGCTTTTTGGCAACCAGCACACAGCCAGAGCAGAGTGGCCTCGGCCAAACCTCTGCTCCAGGCCCTTGCTGCCTTGCCGGATGCGCAGACCAGTTTGTTGTTGCTCCGCCAATGCGCAGCCTTTTGCAAGGTTGCGTATGCGGCCTGGGTCACGCCCACTTCTGCGATTGCAGACACTTGGCTGCCATTTGATGGCGAGGTGTTGATTAATGCCTGGAGGCCGCTTGCACCGGCCCTCTGGACACACATGCCTGGCAACAAGCTGGCCTTTCCACTTCGGCTGGTGGGCTTGGGCTGCGGCATGCAGCTGCTCACGGCGTTGCAGCCTATGCCGCTTCCATCGCCGCCACTACAGATCTATGTATGGCTTTGGATGCTGGCTATGTGAATGCGGCTGTTGCCGCTGCTGACACTTTCCCGTTCCCACCGCCACACAACCTTTGGCAGCAGCAGCTGTCACAGGCCGTGGACAGGGCGATTGTCGCGCAGCCGAAAGCTTCAGGGCCCATCTGCAGCTGGAGCCTGGCTCCACATGCGCCTCCTTGAGGCCTTGGGTCTCCATCTCGTGAGCCCTCTTTCCAAGGTTCTGGTGCGCATGCGGCTACGGCTGGCTTTACCTTGGTTGACAAGGACCTGGCCTGCCCACTCTGTGACGGCATTGCCGACAGGTTCGGTGATCATGCTCGCATGTGTCCATGCGGCGGTCGTCTTCGGTCGTGTTGGCAGCACGTGCCAAAGCAGCGGGTTTGAGCCTGGAAGTCGAAAAGGGCGGGCTCAGAAGAACTTGGTGCACGGTCCTGAGGACGGCTCCAGCCGTGGGCACGGCGGGCGGAGGCCAGCAGATATCTGTGGGTGCCTTCTTGGGGTTGTATGGCCCGGCAGCCTTTGACCTGGCCGTCACTTGTGGCCTTCAACAAGGCCATGCTGCTGTAGCCGCAGCTGATGGTGGTCGTGCCGCGGCTGATTATGAGGGGCGGAAGAACCAACACCTCCACACTTTGACGACTTGTGCAGCAGAAGGTTTCCAGTTTTTGCCTCTCGTGGCCGAGGCATGCTCCGGTGGTTGGGGCCCCAGCGCCATGAAAAGCTGGAAGGAGTTTGCGACGGGCATCACCGCCCGGAGTGGGGAGAGCGTGGCTGTGGAGCGTCTCCTCCAGTCCTTGGCGGCGGCGCTTCAGCGGGAGAATGGGCGTGCTGTCCTGCGGCGTCTTGCTGAGTGAGTGATTTCTTGTTTGGGTGGCACGTCCTGGCAGTGATGATGCGGGCTTGCCATTTTGGGAGCTGTTCGGACCTTGTGCGCCGGAAAGGTGTTTTCCGGCAAGTCCATTGCCCATTTGCAAGGAATTGGAAAGGGAACAGTCAAGATGATTGATCAGTACCGGGAGAAAGGAATCAATGACAAATAGGAGAGGTTTCGCAATGGCGAAGAACACTGATGGCATCACACGCGGAATGCGTAGTTGCTTGTCTTCGTTTGTCCATAGATTTGCGCACATGCTGGCCGACCATTTTCCTCCACCTTGTCAGTTTGATTAACAATTCCTATCTCCCATAGTCAGGCATGGGCACAAGCTTTAGCTAGCCTCCATTCGCAAGCCCCTGTATTTTCAGGAATATTCAATCAAGATTCTTTCTCTTCCATGTCAGCCTCGCGTGCAATTCAAGCAGCATGCACCTTCTACATCCTTCTACTTGGACAACCTTTTGGCGACCGCTTCTGCTCTTTGTACCAGCTCCTGCTTGTTGTTCTGGCTAAATTCTTCTACATCGACATTTTCTCCAATCACTATTTTCTGGATTTGTCGTGTTCAACTCCTTCCTCAAGGCTGTGGGGGAAGCCTTGCACAGTCTCTTCTACATCTCATTCTCCGAGTTTGCTGGAACCAGTACCAATTCAACCATCTCTTACTTGGTCTCATTGTGTCTTGTTTCAGTTGCATTATTCTCCTGCTTGCAATTCCAGCAATCTTTCGACTTCATCGATATTTTCACATTTCACTCCAAGATGAAGACAAAGAGGGAAGTCTTCCACATCAAGTCCTACTTTTCACTTTCTTCTTTTGCTGGAATGTACACTCCTCGTCATTCTGTACTGAAGGGCCGTGGAAATTTCCATTTCCTGTTCTCGCGGGACTGAAAGTTCCTGCTTATAAAGTGAAATTTGTTATAAAGTTTTTTGTTGCCCGGAGGTAACTACCACCAGGAAGCTGTTATCATCAGCTCGGACCACACCATGCCACATCACAGATGGCGAATTTCATTAATCTCTCTCCACTACAATTTTTGGGGCCAAGACAAAATTTTCCTTATCAACTCCATTACCTTGCAGCTAATGCTCGCCAGGGGCCGCCAGAGGCGTGCCGGGAGACCACGGTCACTCCATCGTCCCTTTTCTAGTTCTACTCTCCAAAGCGAGAGACAAGTGGTCACAAAACCTGCTGTGCGTCACGGGACCGATCTCCTTAAGTAGTTTTTGGGGTCAACGCCCCGAGGCGGGCGTGGTAATTTCCACGTTTGTGTGTTTTCGCCAATATACGGGTTTAACGCTCTTGCCGACTGTACGTGGACGCTTCCGAAGATACGTTGCTGAACGTTGTTGCTGACGTGTTGCTACCTTGACCGGGTGGGGGGGTGGGGGGGGGTGGGGGGGGATGATAACGTTCCTTTCGGACTGTAAGGGGAAAGAAAACGGAAGATACGTTGCTGAACGTTGACCGGGTGGGGGGGGTGTGGGGGGGGGTGGGGGGGGATGATAACGTTCCTTTCGACTGTAAGGGACGCTACCGAAGACACGTTGCTGAACGTTGTTGCTGACGTCTTGCTACCTTGACCTGGGAGGGGGGGTGGGGGGGGATGATAACGTTCCTTTCTGACGCGTCTGAGGTCGGTTCATGCGCGCACCAACTCATGGTGTCGGTCAGATTTTATTGGATTTTAATT